GCGCAAAACCTGATGGAACAACAAGTCCCTGCCAGCGAGCATGAATGAAAAGTGCACCAAACTGCGCACCCACCGTGTTGTGCACGAAGGAGGGGATCTTGTGCCCACTCTTTGAACAGCGGCATGCATGCTGTCCAGCATTTGGTCAACCATGTCAATGGTTCTCTTCACATGTCCTGTCATAGGTGAAAAGACCTGGAAGATAGCAAACTTGATAGGAGCCTCAATGATCACTGCCATCAATTTCCAGGTCAGCGGTGAGCCTGGAAATTGAAGATTGTAGCGCCAACAGGAGACAGTAACTGCAAGATGCAGTCAACCATGCCACACTGCCAAACCATGTCATTTCAAACCATGTGACAGGGGGAGTCAGCATGGGATGATCAGCGCGAGTGCATGAGGATGGAGGTCCTTGGACCTAAAGCTACATAGACTTCGTGTCTCCAATATTCTCCAATCACCTTCTTAAAGGGTATGTGGATCCCTAGGGATGCATATAGGCAAATACCCCTCAGGGTTCTTCCCAGCAATCAGGACGTGTGTGAACCAAAACCACCATTTCAGAGAAAAACACGCGTCTGGGTCGAGTTGCCACGGTGTGCTTAGCAAATCAAGCCCAGCCAAACCTACCCAGTCTCCTAGCGGTCGCCTAGCAGTCTCACCATGGCCGGTGCATTCGCCCTCGCATTCTGTCACACAACTAAGCCTTGGAACCTCAACATGTCAGGGGTTAAATTCGGTTAAACCGAGCAACTTTGGGGTACACCGCGCCACGTGATCAATGGGATATCAACCCACGACTCACTTCATACCTCAACCCCATTGGATCACGGGGAACTCAACCCAAAGATTGGACCTTCGAAGACTTCGGTCATGACTTGGACACTCCAGCTCCCCTGCCCAAATAAGCTTGGCACACTGGCCCGGTACGTGTACACCACTTTTGGGGCGCATGTCCATACCCAAACACAACCTGTTTGGGACTGGCATATGAATCCACACATTGGTGGAACAGGTTGAACAGGGGGTCTGTCTGGGTCATAACAATCAAAGCGACTCCGGGCCTCCACGTATTTCTCCACATATTGGACATCTTCCACCTCGACGTGTTTCACAATGGGCACGTCAACCTCCTTCCTGGCGATCGAAAACAGTAGATGTTAGGCAGAATACACCGACCCTACTATTCATGTTGGAGCAGAAGGGAGAGACGCAGCGGTGATCGTTGAGGTAATGGACGTTCCCTCTTCATGTGCCCGACAGTACAGATCCTGGACTGGTTGCGAGGCATGGTGAAAATCCTTCACGAGCTTGAGATTGAATACAATGGCAGTGGTGCCACTCTTTTTTCAGAGGACCTACGTATTTCCAGCTCCAGTGCTGTAAGTCCACATCTACGGATGAATCCCGATCGAACGAAAATCGGACGGACAAACGTGGAAGAAGACACCGGACACCGTCCATCCGGCTCGGGGTCGTTCGGATCCTCCAGATCGATGTTCAAATGGAACTGGAGGATGATGAGGCAGTCATCTACCCAAACGCTCCGTTCACAGCCCGACAGGGTCCCTCAAAACCAGAACGATTGGTTCGGGTCTACCCCTCCAGAGGATTCGGGTCCGACCCCTGCATAGGTTCGGGTTCAGGATCTACTAGAAATCCAAAGGGCAGTCATCTACTTGATCAACCCAGTTCTGGGAGTCCATTCGTTGCACGGCTAGGATGCCGGGGAGACATACTATACCCTAGATCCCCGGATAGGCCTTGTGGAGTATCTATAGTTACCAGATGAAGGGCATAGGCATTTGGTGTGGATGGGCTTCCAGCAAGGTCTCCCCGTCCAGCAAACCAAAAACTCTTGCTTCCTTTCGCCAGTTCCATGGCCTTAGACCATCCGATCAACCCGGAGGGTGGAGAATTGTGGGAGAGAACTATCAAACAGATGTTCCATATACATGTTCCATGCAAAAACCATTTGGAAAACCATACATGTTCATCCATCAGCTGGAACCTGAATGTTGCATAAACTCGGAATCATGTCGAGGGCGGCGTTGGCACCAGATCCGACCAGCCGGACACCAGGATCTACCCGGACCCGACCCGACCATCGCTGTCTAGGGGGGCGAAGCCTCCGCCTAGACAGCGAAGCATGCCCTCAAAGCCTCAAAGCCCTTAGTTTTGGAGTTATCCCGGTCACCGGGGGTGGGGTCGTGGAAACCAATTTTGCAGTACAACAAAACTAGGGATTTTTCGTTTGTAGTTTTGGAGGGTTTGGAGGGTGGAGATCCTACCCGGGTAGGACGGAGCAATGACCAGCAATGACCGTCCGGAGAAAAAGCCGCATCCCTTTTGGGTCCCAACGAAGGGGCTCCACGGAAGAAAGCAGCTGCGCGTTCCGACGTTCGGCCAAGTCCAGTTCTCGCAGCCCGTTGTTCCGAGATGAGATGAACCTATCCCAGGACCCGAACCATTCGAGGTGTCTGTAGCTATAGCCTCCGAAAAAGAGCTGATTGATTCGGGGTGTCCCAAAACCACCGGATGCTTGGTTTCGGTCCTGGTCTAGATCGAGCCAGCGGTCGCAAGTGGGCTTCACTCGTGCGGGAAACGCTCCGAACGGCGAGATTTCGAGCAACAGCTGGCTCCCTAAGCAACAGTTATGATGATCCTGTACCAGGACCCCCAAGGGGTGGTTAATGGACACCCATTAACCTCTAAGGGGCTACTAATGGACACCCTTTCCGTGGTGCTGGTAGCTGTATTTTGCGGCCCGGACGGGCCTGACCCGGACTTTTGACCTGGTGGCAAAGCACCTCCTTCGTTCGACCAAAGTGAGACATGATATTGAATACAGGGGTCGATGCTACCCTCCCTGGGAGTCCAAGACCATTTTTAAAACGGAAAGGAACTTTGTGATCCGAAAAAGAACGTCCTTTACTTGGGTGGTGCCTGAAAATAGTCGAACTGGACTTCTAGGGCCCTATTATACCCCATTGGCTGCGCAGGACCGGAGCTATCCCCTCTATCGAGGGCATCCCCTCTATCGGGCAGAACAGGCCATCTATGGAGTGTGTCAGCGCTTCGACCGTTGGCCAAGCAAAAGTGCCAGACTTTCTCCAAGAGTCCTGCGGGCGTCCGCATCAACGTGTGCCCACACGGGTCGGTGTGTGTATTTACTAAGAAAAGCACCTCCAAACACCTAGTAACGTCGACCTGTTCCCCCTCTGTTCCCTACCAAAACCGGTCGGAACACCACGCCATGGGAGGTCTCGCCCCCAAACCCCGACCCACCCAATCGTTTCGTTCGTCCTAATAGGGCAGATCTGGGGCACAGAGACCTCGCCGGAATCGGGAAAACACCGCTCGGTGCCAACCCGGAAGCGTCGAACGGGCTCGGCGCATGGGGAGGTGGAAGACTTGGGGGAGTAAAACTCAGTACCCAGACGCTCATTGGACCCTCAGTTCGCTAGGGTTTTGACCCTCACAACTAGGGTTTTGGACCTCAAACATGTAGCAGTTTGAGGGTCAATGAGCGTCTGGGTATGAGAGAAGATGGAACACTGTCAGACTAGGTATGACTATAGGTATTCTTGTTTCGCATCTCTTCTCTCGACTGTCTCAGATCATGGACAATTTTGATCAATGTTGTATGTACTAGGTTGGGTTTCAGAGTTTGCGCAATGTTCCCTTTTAATAGGTCACTCCGTTTGTTCCGTTGTGCCAGTGGTTTCTGAGAGCTTTCCATGTTTTGGGACACACCAACATCCTCATCCGTCATGCCAACTGATCGACTCCCCTGTCAAATCGACGTCCAGGGACCGAGGACGTCCGTGTGAGACGTTTCGCCCCTGCACGCGTTGGAGAGGTTGTTGCATGTCTCTTGGAGACGCTGGGCTGCGTGTGGAACACCACAACGGATGGTAGATCCCAACATCACCATGACGTCCCACATATGGACTCGGAACCATTGGGTCATCCGGGGCCCCCTAACCTGCCCTTAGTGATCCACACACACACACCGTATACCGAACGGCACAAGGTACGAATGGACATGAACCAGGTGCCTACACAAAAATATAGGTTGCATATAAGTACATTGCCAGACTGCATATTGAGTGCAGAATATGTTGATTGTTAACTCTCCTCAATTCTGGTCAACTCTTGGATTGTTTGGGGTGTCCTCTGTAAAACCCGCATTGTCACCTTTCACAGGTCATTACGTTGCCAGAGTGTATTGATATGATTGGTTTGGTATAATTCACTGGTGAAACAACGGCTCCAGTTAAGCAGGCGTTGGAAGTGCAAAACGTTTATAGCCAGTTTAGTCTCAAACGCGCCTGTTTTTGCACACGTTGGATCTGCGGCACTGGTTTGTGCACCTCAAGCATCAGGTGGTCACACGAGCAGAGCATGTGCCCTGTTGGGGGCCATGACCCCCGGCTGAAGATAATCAAATAGGGGTTTTCAATGGTTTTCACTCATCCTTGGGCTGATGTAGAACCTTGATTATATTTCAACCAGCATATGAAATTTGGTGTGCGATACAAACGTTGAATTTTTCCCAAATGCGTAGAAGGGTTCCCGTTTATATTCTGGAGCTGGACCTGTGTTTGCGTCGTGTGTGTTGCGTTGTCGTTGCGTCGTTGTGGTATCGTCGTTGTCGGGTCGTCAACTCCCTCACAGTGGCGGAACGCCTCAAGGGGCAGCTCTACACGATGTGCCCGAGGTAGTGTTCTTATGTTGCGCTTTGAGACATTTGTAGTGTGGAGGATGATTTTGCTGTGCAGGTGCAGCATTTTGTGACAGCGGCCATTCCCGTCGCTGTGACAGTGGGATTGGGGTTTAGAGGGTGGTATGTTTGAAGTGCTAGGTGTCGCTTTGACAGTGGGATTTGCGTTTCAGGCTGTTGTTTCGAAGCTGTGTTTTCGTGACCAGTCTCAGGTCAAATTGCAAGTTTTGGTGGATGGGTGGATGTGTGAGTGGTGCCAAAAGAAAGAACATGTTGCAATAGGTCGCAACATGTTCATGAGCTTTTGTGACATCGGTGACACGGTTGCATGGCAATGGCAGGATGCACGCGCACCGCGTGTAACCACGATGCTGGCCTGGCAGACTTCATGCGCGTTCATTACTGTACAAAAAGAACGCGAAGACCTTCAATTGTACTTTCGGGTTCGTGACTGCGATCATTGTGTTATTGAGGTGCCCGGTCAGAGTGTGGTACTCCAACGAAACCCATCAACGGAACCAGTGCCCCTACTTCACCTGCAAGTACCAGGTCTACCGGGTCAGCATCAACACAAATAACCACCTACCACGTCCACGTGCGGGAACTGACCACTTCCGAGTCCGAACCGCTCCGCCCGGAACCGGAGCGGACTCGGAACGGGTCAGCCCGGAACGACCTACGTAGATGAACGAGGTCTGTAGATGTTGTCACCCAAACGCGTGAGTCACCAGGATGATACCAGGATCAACCAGTATCAACCAGCAGGTGTGTTTTTTCTTGCGAGATTGCCACAAGAGGCGTCATCTTCCCGTCGGCATCCTCCATCCGGCTCTGGAGGGAAACCTTCTGCCAGTTGCACATCTGGCCTTCGCCGATCAAACCATCTTTCATTGCTACTGTCACTTGGTCGAAGATCATCGTCACACGATCGAGGCACTTCGAGGCCGTGTAGGACACAGCTCAAGCCGAGTAGACTCGAACATCGGCTGATGAATGTCTGTGGTACCAAAGACCATTGAATGCCCTGGGCTCAAGCCTCCACGCGGCGGGACCCTGGGTAGCTGTGTGGGCTAGCGAAGTGAGCCACGCCATGGTCCATGCAAAAGATATTGTTTCCTCAATCCTGGAGGTCTTTGCATTTTCCAGAGCATCTGCTGAAGGACGGGTCCATCTAGCTGGCATGATCACTTCGGATGGAGGTCGATTTCCATGTTTGAAGCTGTGGCAACCGGAGGGGTTCTCGGATGCCCATTTTCGAGCTGAAATTTTGGAGATCCCAGCAGCCAATTGCCTATCTCGAACTGTGAAGATTGAGTGGCATTCTGAGGATCCATGTCCAGAAGTGGGCTCTTATGGCATTTGCTGGAACTTGCTGGCCACGAATCAAGATGACGTTCCGATGTGACCGATGGTCATGCTTCATCCATCAGCCCAACTTGGTGGCGCCACAAGGCCCTTGCAAAGGCTCTCCATTCCATGTGCTAGAGCTCTATGCAGGTGGTATTGGTGGATGGTCGGCAGCCTGGACATTTCTGCAGGATCATTCACCCATTGATCATGAGACCATTGCTGTTGAGCAGGACCTTCCAACATGTGTTGCATTTGCTATGAATCATAATAGTGAATGGCCTTGACCGCTTGCATGCTCATGATTTGTCTGCGCTACCCAAACCAGTGGTTGTCCAAGCCCACATTGAGCAATCGGGATGGTGGTCCGCAGTTGGTAAATGGGGAGTTGACATCGTGTCCATCTCCGCATCGTGCAAGCCTTGGTCAGGCGCGGCAGCTCAGCCTGGACTGTTGGCGTTCGAAGGGGAGAGTTTTGCGGTGGCCACTCAGTTGACCAAGATTTTTAGACCCTCCATGGTTTTTCTGGAACAGGTCTATGGATTCAACCAGCATCCTCACAAGCCAATCATCATTGCATTGCTCAAAATGGCTGGATATATCATACGCTGGGAAAAGATCGTAGATGCAGCTGATCAGAGTGCAGTGCATCGCTTCCGTTGGCTAGCAATTGCAGTTCGCTTTCATGACATGCCATTGTTCGGAAGCCTGTCATTTCCTGGAAGAAGATCCAGTGCACACCCATTGGCCTTAATGCCATTGTTCGGTGGGACCCAGCCCAGCTCCAGTCGTTGAAGATTTCAGAAGATGCCCTACAGAAAGCGTGCCAATGGCAATTTTTGCCCCCAACCAAACGGTGCTTTTCCAAACACCTTGACTCAAGCAAAGTGATGGCCCTGCGCTGTAATCAAGGGAAGGAGATTGTTGACACCTTCATTCTTCATGGCCATGTACACATCTCAGCATGACATTCCGGATCAAGTGCTTCGAACCAAGGAGTACATGGCTCATTTCGTGCAAGTCCCGACACCAGAAGAGTCGAGTTTGGGTCAGGAGGGAACACCAAGATGGTGGCATCCGTTTGAGGCATGTCTGTTGCATGTTTGCTATAAGCGCTGCTTCATTGTGAGTGATCGCTCGCAAGCCTGGGTCCATGTGGGTAACCAGATCTCTGTTCCGCATGCCTTGTTGGTCATTATCAATGGTCTGAACCTGATGCTGAATGCTAGCGCCGAGCTTGACCTTCACTCTCTGTTTGAGCTCCTTCACAAGTGTCACATGCAGGCCAACCACGTTCACCGAATTGACTTTGATGAAGGTATCCTCTTCCGTGATTGTCGGTCTGATGACATGGAGAGTCACCCTGTTGATGTTAGGCCATTGCTTTGTCACCTCCACCCAAGAGCATTCTCAGGAGACCATGTTTGGCACCCTGGCAAAGGAATGATTGCCAAACAATCGTTAGACCCAGCTATCGACAGCAAGCCGGTAATAGCAGACACCGTGTCCCGGACGCCGATTGCCAACGATGAGGCATGCGCTGAGCTCGGCCAGGCCCTTGAACCTGCACAGAAACGTCCTCGCATTGGTCAGGAACTCTCGCCAGCTGCACCCACGGATGTTGACACGTCCGAATCAGAAGCAGGGGAACCATTCTTTGACCATGTCTTGTTCCAACAGGGTTCAGTAATTCGGGGACTCTGGAGTGACATTCGCATCAAGCAAGACCAATTTGTGAACATTTGGCACCACCAGATCCTTAGCCTTGGCCATGAGAAACCACCAATGCCAGGCAGAGAAATCCTGCAGTTTGGGGCATGTTCCGTTTTGTCACTTGCACCATCTCACACACAGCCGCTATGCCTGATGTTAGGAGGTCAATTAACTCTCTTGGCACACCCGGACACTGACACGGTCATTGCCAGCCTTGTTCGCTCCACAAGTGCACCAGTTTGGGATCAGTTTGGACAAGTTCAAGCGGAGGCGGTTTGGGAGTCACATGTGGCATTCTTTGACCATCCATTGAGTCAGGGCACGTTGACTAGACCTGTTGGGATTTTGCTTCCGGCCTTTCGTGCGTGGCCCAGTCAATTTCATTGGTGTCACAAAGGAGACCTCCTTCAACTCACGATTGCAGGTCAGCCTGAGCAGGTTAGTGACATAGAAGCCTTTTGGCAAGGATCCATGCGAGAGATGCTTGCATCCATCGGCCGTCAGTGGTCCCTCACAAAGACACAAGCACAAGTCACCATTGTGCTTGGCCCAGCATCCACCAAGGTTGCTTTGCCGCCAGATCACTCATGGCTTGCAATTGGAGTTTCGGCATTTCGGGTTTTGTTGGATGGCTGTACAGTCGAACCCACAGATGCCCCATGCATCACGATGCGTTGGAACTCCCACCATTTGTGGAAAGGTCACCTTGATCCTGCATGCAAGTTTCGGGACCTTGAAGAATGTCTTTGCTATGTCCTCCGTCCAGTCATCGGTCCATCCAATGTTCAAGTCTTCATTGGTGGTAGGTCATGGTCCCTCATGGACACGATTGGTGAGGCCACGAGGTCGTTAGCTGAACCATGCATTGTTCACATTCGTTGTGATTGGTCAGGGCACTTTTCTGGGATTCCTGACCCTCCGCCGGAAACAAGCATTCGTCAAGAACCCGCACCGGGTAGCCTGCATCCAACAGTGTCATGCACAGCCACCTGGCCAGCCTCGACAGGGCCAGACCTCGAAGCAGGTGTTTTCGAATCAGCAACCTGCCCTGTGTCAGCACATCCGCCGTGTCAGCCACGCGATGCAGTACTCAGCCATAGTCAAGGCCAAGGGGCACCAGAGGTTTTCCCCTTGTGTGTCATTCCGGCCAACCATACTCAACTGCCAGATATCTTCCCACGGCCACTATTCCTGCCAAGGCAATGCCAAATTGGTCAGTTGATTGCAAAGATTAGGTCGGTCCTTTTGCAGCAAGGTGTCCACTATTCGGGTCCGGTGTACATTGTGTTTGATGGTCGTGTCCTCAAGCATGCCACCAAGATCAGTGAGCTCGTTGCGACCAATTATGACTGGAACTTTCCTCGCACGTTGACCATCACCGCGGAAGACCTGTTTGGAGTTGGGTTCAAGCATACACACAAAACCAAGGTTTCCAATGCGTTGGCAGGGACGTTGCTTGAAGGAGGATTTGCAATCCAATGGGTGTCCAAAACTATGGAGATGCTCAACACCAAGGTTGATCACAAAGATCTCACTGCCGTTGCAGGCATTTCTGCTGGACCCAAGAGGCTCACTGCCATCATTGAGTTG